AAGGAACCTCAATGCAACTGCAGAAATAAAATAACATGTCCACTCTAAGGAAATTGCCAACAAACGAATATAATATATAAAGCCAAGGTAAGTGCAAACAACAGCACAATGTACTACATCGGTGCCACTGAGGGACTATTCAAGAAAAGAAAAAACAACTACAACCTTTCATTCTCCAACAGAAAATATTCAAACAGTACTACACTATCCACATACATATGGCATTTAAAAGACAAATATTACACCAAGAATAAGCTGGAAAATATTGAAATACGCACCTGCCTACACCAACATTACGAAGAAATGCCTACTTTGCCAGCAATAATTTCTCATACCCAACAAAAGAAATCACTAAGCATAAGATCAGAAATAATTTTTAAATGCATACATGAAAACAAATATCTATAATCAGAATTTATACTAAACGGATAAAAAAAAAAGAAAACACCAACCAACACTACTACATAAACCACCATTGACCCTATGAACATAAGAGAAACCATTGACACTATAAAACCATCAATTATTTTCTAGTTCAAACTACCATCATAATAATTATGATTATAATTATTGTTATTATCATTCCACCACCATTACTATGATCACTTCTACCAATTTGCAATAACTATTTGCTGCTACAATTGTTATTATCATCACCCGCTCCCACCACCATTACTACCACATCACAATTACCATTGCTGCATTAGTCCATAATTACTATGGCACCACAATTACCATTACCATATCTATCCACAATTATACTTACTTCTCCCTCCCCACCAAAATTACAAATTGGTGTTTCTACCATTTACATATGTGCAATTGCCAAAAACAAGCAAATAATTGGCTTCAAAATAATAAAACAGCCTTAAAAAATTTTAAATAATAGCAATTTCTACCTACCATAGCCTTACACAAACCCCATCATACATATATACATGCGTGCGAGAAAACATTATTGAGCAAACAAAATAGAATAATGGTCTGTGCGTTGACAGCGCAAAAGACACAAAAAATATTCGCTACACAATCCAACATTGCATACAGCAAAGAAATGTATACGTATGTACGCAACGACACATGGATGCGCATATATGCCCAGTCCCACACTGTTCACATATGTTTTTTGTTTGTGTGAACTTCAGTCAGTATGTGTGTATGGTCTGCATACATCAATGAGCGTATGTGCGTATATGTATGTTTGCATAAATATGAGTGGCGTTCTGACAACAATTTTTCCTCCCACTTCCATAAAAACACAATATACACAACCATATATAAATCCAAAATTTTAAAAGTTAATCAGTTTGTCTGATGATCAAAAATAGCATGAAACCCAGGGTCACAAACTCACATCAATCCAACTTAATATATATATATATATATATACATATAAATGGACATTGAAGTCAACACCCAGAGGCGACAGTCTTTCAGTGGTCAAGAGATATATATATACATATATATATATATATATATATATATTGACACACATGTATAAAACATTGATAAGAAGACTCACTTTTAGAACTATACATTATTTGGATGATTAATGTAAATAAATAATGCATGTATGTTTTGGAGACACAAGGAGATATATTTTATTGTCTTTAACCTTCCATGGGCTTTACAATAAACTGTTGAAATTAGTCTGCTTTCTGTGTATTTATTACACACATTACAAAATGCATGTAGATAATAAAGTGTATTTTTCAACTATTGGAGAATTTCATAAATCCAATCTTCAAAAGAAAGAAAACAAAATCAAACAAGTGATTTGGCAAAATGTGTGTGCATATATTTTGAAAGGGAATATATATATATATATATATATATATATATATATATATATATATATATATATATATATGTGTGTGTGTGTGTAAAACATACATACATACACACATATACAAGAGTCAGCCTTAGTTTAGAAAATATGTATCTATAGAATCAAATACCTTTATACATGTGTATCTATGCATACACACACACACAGATATATATCTAAATGTTCCCTATTTTTCAAAAATCATTTGTTTTTCTTGTTCAAGTTTGCTGCTTTCTTCACAATTGTGTTTGACTGGTGACGTTCTGCTTCAACAGCAGAAAATATCTTTCTATTTTGACTTTCTTTGTTGCTTTTCAATTTTTACAATTTCTGTGAGTCCTTTCAGTCTACATCTTCACTAAATTATACTGAATTTTTATTTTTCTTTATTGCTTATATTAACCTGGGTTAGTCAGTGCCATCTTGCTCTTTTCCCTCCTGAGTGGAATGTCTTTTGAACATTAGCAAATAGTATTCTTATTTATGCTCAATGAAACTCTTTCCCTCTCACTTCTACTTCTTTCTTATTACCCCCACCCCCATTATACAAAAGCACCATCCCCACTCATAATGTCTTCCACTCATAGACTTAGGTCTCATTTGGTTATTGTTAATTTTTTCTTTTTTTTTTCTTTTTTTTTTACATCAAATGGATTCCTTATGACATACTATATATATATATGTGCGTGTCTGTGTGTGTGTATAATGAGTGTATATATGAGTGCATGATTTTTGTATGCCTATGTGTATTTGCATAAAAATTGAATGTATATTTATAAATACTTGTGAAGATATTGATACATACATTTTATTATGTTTATTTAAATATATATATATGTGTGTGTGTCTGTGTAGTATATATGCATACTTCCTTATATACACAGAATGTTTGTATTTCTATATGTCTATTTTGTAATTGTGATAAATTAACAAAGAACCTAAATATACCCCAAAAAAATCTACAAAAAAGATTGAAAAAAAGGTTTAAAGAATAGAGAAAATGTAAATGTTTACTTGTGTCTTGTGTATGACTTTTTGTTCATTTGGGTTTCTGCTCTCTTTTCTAATAGTGTGCTCTCCTTGCTTTCTTTTTCTTGTTTTTTACTTGTTTGTCTTCAAGCATCAAATAAACCCATTGTGTGAAATGGCATTCCTTTCACTTGGCACCATTTCCCAAGACACTCTCAGAACATGACAGCTTTTGATGGTTTCATTACTACCACCACTGTTCATATGATTGCAGAAATTGCTACTGCCACCACCAACACTTTTACTGTTGCTATTTTATCACTTTCACCATTGCTATTATCCCAATATTTACTTATAACTACTTTAAGGGAGTTGGCTATCATGGTGGAATGGTTAAAAAGCTCATCTTGAAGATCAGTTCATTGGTATAGTAAATTTGATTCTCATGGGTACCCAGTCACTGTAGTCTTGTGCCAGAATATGCTATGCTTAGTAAGTAAATATAACTATTATTAGGTACCTTAAAAAAAAGCTTTATTTGATGTTCCATAAATTTTGCTTTGAAGATAAGTTGGCTGAATACAGCAAATATCTACAACTACTATTACTATTATAATTCCTCTTCTTACTACTATTACTACTATTTGCATACATATCTTTGTACATCTTTGACCTTGTTGTACCATTATGTAGAGCTATAAGTAAATACCACAAAAAACAGGCCGTTTTTAGTTTCATGTGTCCATGCTCTATAAGAAAACTTTAGTATAAAAAAGTGAGTTTGCATTTTGCTATTGGATTTAATTATTTACTAAGCATAGCTTACATTAAGCACAAAGCTACAAGTATGGGGCCTCCTAGTGAAGTTTGAACTCACTGCTTAGTAGTAATGATCTACAAGCTTACTGTTCATTGCACCATGACAGGTTACCACTATTGAATTTAAATAAAAATGATTTTGTATTTTGGTCTCATGCCTCTTCTCTTAATATATTAGGTTTGTGCAAAAGTTACCAATGTTCTTTTTAGAAATGTTTCATACTGAATCACTTTTGTTATTGTTTTTGTTGAAAAATTGTTGCAATTGCCTCATAAGTATGCTTGTATCAATGTTATTCATACTGATTTCCTCGTGGTCAGCATTACATTATCTTGTTCCTAGTTAATGAGTTGATTTTCAGAGCCCAATAAAACAGTACCTTGTATCAGGCCAGGCCAACTTTATTAAATACTCATATCAGAAATACAGCTATATGATCATTGTTACTGATATTATAAAATCCATTATTATGGTACAAATATTACAAAATATTTCTAATATTAAAAATCAGGATAATTTTTGTTGGTCCAAAACAAGTCAGTCATCTTCCTCTTTTGTTTTTTGTTGAATCCTGTATAAATACTGTTACCATCTTTTGCTTTTAATTGCAAAGTTTTTCAAGGCTGACATTCCATAATAAGAAAAGTTGAAATAGAAAGCATGTTGCTTGTAATAGTTATCTCTTAACTCTTCTCTTTGTCTCTCTCTCCTGGGCTGGCAACTATCAAGTAAATAGCAAAAAATACATTTCTCCTCAAACATAAAGAATAAAACAGTGAATGGATAAATTGATAAATTATAATGAGTAATGGAGTGGCATTTATTTTGTAGTTGAATATATTGGTATTAAAAAGTTATTATTATTCACTGTCTTTTCCTTTTACTTTGTTTATCTGAAAACCTGCAGGGTTATTTCTTCTTAGCAAAGAAATCTTGATTTCATTCAAAAAGATTAAAAGAAAAATGCTTTTTTTAGAAAATCTTTGTTTATTTAGTAGCTCCTCCATTTGTATTCCTTGTGGTTGCAGAAGATGGCTTAAGATATTAAGACCATATTTAAAGTGTATGATAATAATGTCAAACTAATTTTTTCACCTTTCCTCTTTTCATTCAATATAATAGTAATAATAGGTTTCCCATCATTACTACAATCTTTAATCTTTCTGCTCTTCTTTTCAGAAACAGTAACTGTTTTGCTTTATCATTACTACTGCTACAGCAACATTTTGTGGGATTTCACTTTTCTCTTGACATTCACTACCAATAACATTTATATTTAGTACCATTTAGTACCATGATGAAATTTTATTGTGACTATTGCACATAATTAACATTGTGACTATTGCACATAATTAACACTTTTGTTTTTGTTTCTTTTTTTAGGGACCTTCGCTTGTTATCAATTGGTGCTGGAGTTGATGAAGTAATGTTGTCAATCATTTGCAAATACATGAATATTCTGCCAAAGACAAAGTAAAATATGATCAGTGATCCAATGGAACAGATAGCAGCATCAACATTCCCAGAAAACAGAATTATCCTACCAACCGTGTCTATGTATTGTGTGTACTGTATCTGTGTGGGTCTTGTTTATGAATTTGTATCTAGAAATATATGTGTTTGACTTTGAGTTTGTTTACATAGGTGTTTATGAAATCTTGTGTATCAGATGATCTTAAAACATAAGAGATGAAAGTAATTCTAAATGACATGCCTATATTTAATATTTACAGACATAAAGTATGGTCAGTTCTCGTAATAGTCCCATGTTTATTTAAATATTCAGAATGTTAGGTATAGAGCTACAAGCATGCAATTAAATAAAAGTCAGCAGATATATGCTTTGAAAGGTTCCAAAAAGAGATTTACATTTCTTAAAAAAGGTAATTGAGCCTTGTTCTCCTTTGTGGTCTTTTGTGGTTAACTAGTCTAAAATAGAGGTGGTTTTTCCCTATGTAAGGGCAATGCAAGTTTGATCACTGCCAAATGGTACATTTTATTGATTTCATTCAAAAAAGATTTGTGGGAAATACTTTTTCCTACAAAATCTTTGACTATCCTGGCTGATAGAAATCCATTACACTGTCTAAAAATAATAGAAAATAGATGTCTACTTAAACCTATGTGTGTGTGTGTGTAAAAATATGCTATATTTATGGGAGAAAAGTGTTCAATATCAGAGATATTGTGTATGTAAGTACAAGCAGTGTAAATATGGATATCAACATTGCATAGCTAAATCTGTTTCATACTTAAGCATAATCCTCAGGACATAAGGGTGAATGTAGCTCAGTTATATATGTTTGTCACTGAGGGATGGTGGGTAAAAGGTTTTAACAGAGGCAATACCTGTGAGCTAATAGGTATATACTACATGAACTAACCAAAACAATCCATAAAAATAATATAAGCCTATACAGGGATGATGAATTCAAAATCCTAAGAAACTATAACAAAGAAAAAAATAGATAAAGCCAAATAATTAAAATATCTTTTAAAAATTTGAAAAAAAAATAAAAACAAGTTTAAAAGAAATAGATTTCCTAGAATTACATTCAACCTCAGCAGTCATAGAACGATAGAGAAAAACCCAAAACAAACCAATTTTACATATATATGTCTTCCAATCACCAACTGACGATAATTAAGCAGGTCACACAATCTATTAACTGTAGATTAACTGATAACTCTTCTAATGAAACCAAATTTAAGGAAGCTAAAAGAAATTATGAAACAGGATAGTGGGTTTTCAATGACCACACATACACAACACAGAACAAAAGAAGCTCACAGAAGAAAGATCATATGGTTTAATCCACTGTACAGTAAAAATAAAAACAAATGTAGGAAAAATATTCATTAAACTCATCCACGAACATATTCCTCCATCAAGCACTATCTTTCAAATTTTCAACAGAAACATCATAAAATCAGTTTTAGTTACACTGACAATGTCATATTACTAAAAATACAACAGTGAATAAATAACAAATACCTAACATCAGCCAAATACCCCTGTAACTGCAAAGCAATGCATAAATGTCTCTTAAATGGCAATTGCTTGCAAAGTAATATCATATACCAAGCCATCCTAAAAACAAAGTAACAAAGAAAAGAATATACATATGTGCAATAGGACTCTGGAAACTGAAAAACTATGCTAAGTTTTGCTTGTAGAAGAAAATAGTTTTAATTACTTTTCCAGATCAACACTAATAAATATACAAAATATCAAAACTTATCTCAAAATGCAAACATGAAGATAAATTTTTACTACATTACATGAAACTTGGAAACTAAAAACTAATATCTTGTAAAACATAGCTAAAAAAATTCAAATAAAATATAAGAATTAAAATAAAAACATAGATAAAATAATTTCTAAAATAATTACAATATACTGAAAAAAAAGACAAATAAGTTAGCTACTCCCACTCAAAAACCCAAATAAATAAGCAATTGAACAAAGTAATAAAAGATGAAGAATACAAATAAATGCATATACACAAAGGTTTAATAAATTTAATAATAATAAACTATAATAAATAATAAATGAATGAATAAAATACTAAAATAATGAAAAACAAATAGAAAGAAATTAAATGCAAATCTGAAACTTACAACTAATCAAGTAATGAGTTAAAGGCAACCATTAAACTTATGACCCATGTCTTACTGACCTAGGTAATTCAAACAAATCCTGCACAGTAGTACAAAATACCATAAACAGAAAATAACCATTTTCATGCTAATAATTAGTTCTATTCAATTAGTCTATTAATCTATTCAATTAATCCTATAGCCGTGAGAATAATACGATAAACTGAAAATAACTGGCTTTCTTACTCACAATTCCCCAGTGACAAACATATTTAAATAGTCATAATATGCTTCTACCCACATATCCCAAGGATTGCATTTGAGCATAAACACTTGCTACTGTGTGTTGATGTATATGTGTGTGTGTATATATATATATATATATATATATATATATATATATATATATATATATATATATATATATATATTATTTTATGCTTATGTAAATTTATGCACTACACTGTACATGTAAATATATATATATATATATATATGAAAAATTTTAAAAAAAACAAACAAAAATCTTAAATGTAGTTAAAATGAAAGAAACATAAACGTCTGGTCTTTTGTTTTTGTTAAACGTATTTCAAGACAATATTGATCAAAATACAATTTGTTGAATATTGTCTTGAAAAAGGTTGGATAAAAACAAAGTCTTGAGTTTTTATGTATTTCTTTCATTTAACTACATTTAAGGATTTTTTGTTTGTTTTTTTCAAAATTTCTTCATTCTGTCGGATTTATATCCATTTACACTTGCTTATATATATATATATATATATATATATATATATATGTGTGTGTGTGTGTAAATATATAGTATATATAAGTGCCATTATAAACACCAGAATACATGCTTAATGAATAAGCATTTATATTTTCATAATTTAGTTTACACTCTTTATATCTACATACTTATCTATCTACATCTCTCTCTTTTATATATATATATATATATATATACTGTACATGTTTAATCAATGTTTCTGTCCGTAGTCTCAGCTTGTATGTGGGAACTTCAATGAAATGTATTGCCGGATATAGAGCAGTATACTTTGGTCAGTGAGTAGGGCAATTGGCCATCTAGTTGCTGATGGTAATGTTGACAACATGTGGCTGCTAAATTTCTTTAGGGAATTGATTCAAATGAATGCAGATGATTTACACTGATTGATACTGAAAAGAGACAACTGTAGAAAAAAATTAAAATCCAATTGAAAACAGAAATAAAATAAGAAAAAATAAAAGAACAAGTGATCAATGAATGAATGATTTGGTCAAAAATGACAACCGATGACATAAATAATTGAAGCATCAAAATCAAATAAAATTCTGATCTATAAATAAAAGAATATATACTTTTCAATTTGGCGAGTTTGACTTATTTTTCTTTTGAAACTGTCTTTTCGACATCACTTTTATTTCCTTTATTTCTTATTATCTTCAAGTTGTAGTGAGGAAGGGAAATAGACAATATAATGATTTAAATATAGTCTGAAATTCTGAGATGAATCATTAGCATAATTCCTCAAGTTGTTTGAACTAACATCTCCATCAATGTTCATTTTATCACTGTTTTTTTTTAATTAGGCTTTCTTCATTATTCTCTGAATGTATAATTCATTTAGTTATCTGGAGTTGCTATTATCAGTAGTTTTGGAATTTGGTAACAGAGATTCCTAAAAGCAGTGGCAATATCTCTATCTCCTCCCCTTTTTATGCTACTTTCAGAAATATTTGACACTGTTGAAAAGCCTTAAAAATGCTTAAGCTGAAATTGTATTTGATGACATATATGATTCTCACCACCAATCTTTTCTCCAAAAATATATCACCTAAGCTTTAGATACTAATATGAGGTATCTGGTAGATCAATGGTTACACAGTCTACTATTACCTAATTTAATTCCATTATGATGTAATGTAATTGGAGGTGTCTTTATATCCTATTAGTTTTTATAATAAACTCAACAAGAATTAAATTATTGTGCTTTGCTTGAGTCTAACATTAAGAATATAAAGTGCAAACAGCTACAAAGACTGTAACATCCTTAAATCAGTTGAACTACTAAGTCTATAGCCTGACACATTTATTAGTTGAAATTTTCAATGTATATTTGTTGTGTAAAATAAATGCTTTTTTTAATCGTTTAGACTACAAACTTATATAATGCATCTTCTTGACTGAGACGTCTTTTAAGAGCCATATAGATGAGGCTCATTACTTAGTTGAGAAAGTACAGTTTTGTCTAATTAGTGCAAACCACTAATTGATTTATGAAATTGCACCCTAGGTACCTGGTTTGTGAGAGTTGTTATCACAATAGCCAAGATAAGATGCAATCTAATACTTGTAAAATGATTGTATTTATCATGTGTAATATTGATTAATGCATTTGGTCTCGAACATAATTTTGTTGAAAATCAAATATTTATTTTTGTTTATGTATTTTGAGAAATTGCAATGGGCAATAAATTAAAGATAGGCTTGTTTTTAGATTTTTTTTTGCAATTACTCAATAAAAACATTAAATAAAATTATATTAAGTGATGGAGGGTTTCCAGTTCCAACCAAAATTTAACAAAATAAAAATTATTTTATCCTTTCTTGGTCTGGTTGGAAACCTTAGGAAAAGAAAAATTTGAATTCAGATAAAGACAAAAGGAAATCACCAAGCTACCCTTATAAAAAAAATTCCCAGCCATATTCACATATTTTGATATTTTTTTTTTTTTGTTAAAGAGAACCTTTACTTTTGATGTAAATCTATGTGAACTCCAGCCACCACTTTCTCAGGTGATAGTTGCAAAGAGATTTGCCTGTACATTGGGGTCCCCTGTTAGACAGCATCTTACCCTTGCAGAGTATTCATT